AACCTGAATAGAATTAACATCCTTCCCTGGTTAGCAACCTTGCTAGATCCCTCTCCCATCAAACGTCTGTGTGCACTGGGGACCATCGCCACATACCATAGATGACACATGCATCGCAGTGAACACAGCTTGGCAACGGATACCTCAGGCAACTATTAATCACCTCATTGATAGTATGCCTTGCTGTATAGAGGCCTGTATAGTTGCCCTTAAGAGCTATATTCATTACTGAATAAACAGGTGTCTGTTGCATATCTTTGTTCCATTTTCATATCTCTGCCACATCTACCAGTCCTACAATGCACATGTGGCTATTCACATTCCTTTGTAATGTTGCAATTTCACTTTTGAGGAGTGTAAATAAATTCTTTATCAAATCATTTTTTCTGAACTATATTAATTATTAATTTAATAAATAAAATAAAAATGATGCCTTCAATCAATTGGCACCTATGGATAGAGTTGCATTGGCCATACTTTTGTTATACCACTGTTTATATTATTAATAAAGTAATTATTTTATTAGCTTTGCATTAATAAGTTAAAGCTCTCTTATTCAGCAATAGTAAAAACTTTTTATGTTAAGATTAACATAGTTTTAATATATTTAATTAAAATATTATAAACAATTATAGTACTCTCTATAATAGAGATATTAAACTTATTTGCTAATTCATAATTTTGATCCTTGCAAAGTAATTTTCTCAGCAATAAAATAATTTTAAGACATTTACTTTTCAAAAATAATTTATATTAATAAAGAAATTAAAACTTTATGTATTTTCTAAAAGAATCAAGTTTTAGGAATAAGGGATGTGACTGAATTCCATTGTAAAAATAAAATTATACTTACATTTATAACTATATATATAATTGACATTATATAGAAAGTTACAGTAAGTACACAGAAAGTATTACATATTATTACAGAAAAATGTTATAAAAAATTTAATATATTTTACACTATTAATAACTAAAAATTAACATAATAATATATATTTTTAGCTTATACTAATTTCATATTTTCATACTTCAACTTCATAAATTTTGTGCAATTTACTCTATATACAAATCAATTATCACAAAAAAACTGTTTTTTGAATTTGTTAATTCCATTTTAAGGAAGTTTCTTAATTCAAATTCATACAAATTTTATACAAACAATCCAACAAATTCATATTTTATTAAAAATAATGTAAATTTGTTGATATTTCCTATAAATTTGCACTAAACAATTTTCTAAATATAAAATTAATAAATTCAAAAATGCTAAAGATCCAATTTCTATTATTTGATGTTTTAAAGATGTTATACAAACCCAATATATAAATCAATGCAAACTTTAATTTTAGATCATTAACAGTTTTCTCCAATAAAAATAAATGTTTTTGACCGTTTTAAGCAATCATCATTATGTTAATATGACAAATTTAAACATTTTAAAACAGCTTCACACAAGGAGACAAACTAGTTTTATAAATCTTAAAGATGTTTCTAAAAATGTTGAAATTCTTCATTTTAACTTGACTGCTTAAGAAACCAAAAATATTTTTTTTTCATGTAAAACACTGATAATGATTAAAGATTATCTTAACTTCATGAATGTTTTATGCTTGTTTAAATCAAAATGAATATATTTGCCTTGTTTGCCTTGTATAATTATATTAATTAATTTGATTATAAAATCACAGAAACAGCAAATCCACTACAAATCAAATAAAAAAATAAAATTAATTACACCTGAAAAAAATTTAAAAATTTCAATTTTTTATAGAAATATGACAGAGCATTATATAATAAATAATCAAGCAAATATTTAAATTTATTATCCCCCAAACAAAGCAATCCTCAAGTATGAATTAAAACTGGGGGAAGGAATTAGGAAATTGTCCTTGTAAGAACTGACTCCATTTTTTATGAGAAATATTGAACAAAACTAATTCCATACAGTTTAAGAAATTAAAACAGTTTATTCTGATTGATTAAATGTTTTTTTAAAATAAAAAACTTTTTTAAAGAAACTTATTTTGTTCAAGATTTATTTAAATTTCTTATGTTCTTTATTCAAATCTGTTTATCTGACAACGAGATCAATCAGAATAAACTGAATTTTGACACTCTACAATGTAAAGGGTGCCATTAACTGCTCGACACAAGGCTGCACACATGGTATGGCATCATCATCATCATCACAACTGAATGGCGTCAGATATTGTTCATGGATAAGTCCCACTTCTGTCTGTGGAGGAATGATGTCTGTGGATGGGGGTGATGGTATCCCAGGAAATGCTACATGCCAGCTGTTTTGGCTGATCATCATACTAGCTACCATACTGAATATCATGTTCGATCAGCAAACAGCCCTGGTGCACATTTCTGGTACTCTGACAGAAAACCAGTACATCACACAAATTATGAGGCCAGTGGTTCAGCCACTGGTGTAGGCTACATCCAACATGGAGTTCCAGCCAGATAATGCCTGACCACACATTGCATAAAGAACTCTCATCAACCTGAATAGAATTAACATCCTTCCCTGGTTAGCAACCTTGCTAGATCCCTCTCCCATCAAACGTCTGTGGGACATTGTCCAACTTGAAGTGCACTGGGGACCATCGCCACATACCATAGATGACACATGCATCGCAGTGAACANTCCCCCATGTTTAACGGAATAATATACAGCCTATGTCCACCCTGAAGTTACATTCTAAATATTGGTGAAAGAATTTTTGAAATCGGATGAGTAGTTTCGGAGATTACCTGCTGCATACAAACTAACATACATACAAACATTACCTCTTTATAATATTAGTATAGATAAGATAAATCTGTAAATAAAAAATTTAACATAAAACCTAAAATACACTAAAATTTAGAAATATTCACACATGTAGAAAATAATTTTTCACACAAATATAAAAAAATCATGTATATATTTGCATATTAATTAAGTAAATGTTTCTGTGATAGAAACAGACTGCAATCCCAATCACTTGATTATCTTATATTTAAATGTTGATTTCTAAATTTCTATAGATCACATAATTGCTGAGTTAGCAGAGGGAAGAACTTAAAGTGCAATAAAATTTCTATTGTGATAAGCTTGATATTTTTTAATTCATTTAACAATAGACTATGTCATTCGTATGTGAAAACATATGAGATTATTCACCAAACTATTATGATTCAGACCCGCAAATAAAATTTTTAATTCTTATATATTTATGTGTGTTTTATATTTTAGATATTAATGTAAAAAGACAATTTTAGTTCAGTTTATTCAGAGTGTATATTCTACTTGTATTTATTTCATCATAATGGTCATAACTAAAAACAAGTGCTATCACTATTAATGGAAATAATAAAATATATTGAAAAACAAATGAACATAATTAGAAAAACTAATAGTGAGTTGAGCTGCTTTAACAGAAATTTTAAAATCAACTTTCCTGGCAATGATATTAATAGTAAAATGGTCCATTTGTGCTGAGAACTTGGATTAAATGACAACAAAGGAAGGCAAATAGAACTGATCTAAAAAAATAAATAATAATTTAGGAGGGACAGATTGAGATCATAAGTATGAGCATTAACTTATATCATATTTCGTGTTGATCATGAGATTGCTATAGTTGATACTATCTTTATAGTTAGAAAAATACATGTGCGCTAAAAATAAGAGATTATCTTGTATCATCTGCTTAAGAGTATGCAGATAATACAAGTTGTATTTTAAATTAGTATGCAATGGAAATTTCAACACTAATTTTATGGGAAGATTTTGGCTAATTTTTCTTTTATCTTTGCAAATTAGCAAAATCAATTTAAAAAAGTCTAGGACAAAATATCAAAAAAGTTAACAAAGTGAAGTTACTTGAGGACAAAATTAAACTACTAAACTCTTATTTTGTTTAATGTACTTTTCCTTTCCATATTTGTGGCAGTTTTGCAGTATAATCTCCTGAAAATATAGTGTTTATACTATATACATTTTTTAAAGCCCTCTATTCCAAACTAAATTCTCTTTAATTTAGAATGGAATGCTTTAAAATTCCATTTAAACTTTTCTTTTTGTTGTACTCTCTCTCCAAGTTTTCTCCCAGTAACTCTCAAGTAAAGCAATCTATTGTGTATCCTCATATCCTCATATTAAATGTAACTATGGAATGAACACTGGGTTTTAGAGACTAATTAGAGACTATTTAATATTTATGAATTAAATTGCTCTTAATAATGACTTTGTATAACAACTTTTGAAAAGATTTTTAAAAATATTTTTAGCTATTACATAATCTGGAAAAATGAACCTAGAAGAAAATCAATATAGGAAAAGAGTACAGTCGACCCCCCTATAAGATCATTGATTTTTCCGTTTTATCTGAATTACATGTTGTACGAGTCACTTAGATTTTACAAATACGTGTGCCGGGCTGTGAACGGCACACGTATTTGTAAAATCTAAGTGACTCGTACAACATGTAATTCAGATAAAACGGAAAAATCAATGATCTTATAGGAGGGTCGACTGTATATAGTCCAATATATATTCTCTGAAAACAGTAAAAAATTTTGAAAAATTAAAAATTAAGATTAGAGAGTCACTGCGTGGAATTCAGGGTCATCCCTACGAGAGTAGATGTTGCGTTCCATAATTAATATTTTAAATATTTCCAAGATAAAAAGCTCTTATCTTGAATATGTATTTATTATTTGTTTCTAAAGATAATAGTATCATTTCTGACAATGAAATAAAATACAAATAATAATAATAATAAAATTTTAATTATTTTTTAATTTTCTGTGTAATATACAAGATAGAAAGACATTTGTAACTTTTATTAAAATTTTGATACTGAAGTCACTTATTCCTGTTCACATGCAATAATTATATTAATTTAGATTGTTTATATAAAAGTAAGTTATCTTAAACTATTTCACTGCTGAGTAATTTACAATGGGAGAAACAAAAATATTTTAAAATTAAGAAATACGCTTACGCCTGCGAGACCCTCCCTTTGTAAGTGAAGGGTAAGAAGAAGAACACCAAGGAAAACAAGTACCAAGCACATCTAAGGCTCCCATCTCTGTCACAACTAGTAAATATAGATAATAATTTAAATTATTTTATATTAATACATATTAATAATAGAAAAAAAAGGTTAATGAGAAATTATTTTATCTAGTGAGTACTATATTGGGTTGTTCGGAAAGTAATTTCGTTCTTTTATTGTGGAAAAAAACACAATATTTTTATAATAAATAAATATCAATATTTTATTGAATTATATATCGACTATTTTGGTCAAATACCTGTTGTCATCATTTCTGGTAGTAGCATGATTTCACATTCATAAAAGTTTTGATCATTGCTTACGAAAAACTGATCCAAGTGATTTTTGACACTGTCATTTCTAGTAAATGTCTTACAGTTAAAAATTAAAATTTGTATAGACCGGAATAATAATCTGAGTGTGCTTGATCTGGTGAATATGGTTGGTGTGATAGCACGACCCATCTAAGTTATAACAGTTTCTGACCAGTTACCAAACTTGAGCAAAATTTGACATTATCATGGTAAAACACTACACCTGTTTTGTTGATCAATTCTGGCTGCCTTTTCTGTTTGATGATATTACTCAATTTGTTTACTCGATGGCAGTACACTTTTGAATCAATTATTAAATTGTCTGGTAAAAGCTCCAAAAAAACTTTGCTTAAAATCCCATCAAAGTTAGTCCCACATCTCTCTTTAAGAACATGTGGAATCCATATATCAAACTTTGAAACGAAACCAATTCGTTTCAAGTAATCACAAACAGTTCAATTTGATAAATTTAATCTCTTAGTGATTTCACGTGTTGTTATCTAGCAGTTTGCTTCAATCAGTACCTTTATTTTGTTTTCATTGGCTTCAACTGGCCATCCAGAACATGGTGCATCTTCAATATTGAAATTGCCAGAACAAAATTTTGTAAACCAGTTTTGGCACTGTCGTTCTGTCAATAGATCTCTACCATACATGTCACATGATGTTTTTCTCGCTTGAACGGAATTTTTATTTTTTTGGTAATAAAAAAGCAAAATATGTCGAAAATGCTGCTTTTGATCTTCCATATTTGATGGGACACAAAAATTGAACAATTGCACAAAATCAAACAAAATTTTTTACAAATAAGCCTTAAAATGCTAGCTGTCAAAATATATAATAATAATATGGTTTAGAATGAAAATGGCAGGAAAAATATGACTAATCCGTCTAGTGGTAAAAAAACCGAAATTACTTTCTGAACAACCCATAAATTAACCACAATATTTTAAGAATTTATTTCTTAAGTTTATTATAATTTTAAGATTTTATATTTGATCTTTCAATCCTAATAAATTCCTTACTTTTAAGCTAAACAACAATTAAAATTTTTTAAGATCTCATAAAAATTAAAACTGTATATGTAAAAACTCTGAAGACAGAATTTATATATTTTTATATATAAATATGAATTATTTTGATATAAAACAATAATATAAATACACAATATTCTATAACTTAGATTAAATAATAAATCAAATAAATACAGTCTTCAGAATATCCTGAACAATAATTATGATTTTATTATAACTCAGAATATTCATGAAAAAAAAATTTGACTTGTCTAAGTTTTGAATAAAAACAGCAATTAAAAACATTACATATCTATGTTTTTGAATTTCTAGAAAACAAATAGCTGTATTTTTCCAGATGTTAAAAAAAAATTTAACCAAATCAATTCATTTACCAACAGATATTAAAATATCTCTAAGAACAAACAGTTCTATCATTAATACATTTAGTTGTTTCATTATTTCTAATATAACCACACAACTAAAGCACCTACAATAATTTTTATTAATTATTTTCATTTTTGAAAGTGGTCAAGAAGCCTCTAAATAAAGAACATATGTCACCAATATTTTAAAATGTTTCTATAATAATGTAAGAAAATATACTTTAGAAGAAATAAATTAATGACTAACTTATAAAGTTAATGTTTCATTTTAAATAATAAAGTAAATTACTTTAGAGTTTTTTAAATCAAAACTATAAATCAATATTATGATTTAGGAAATTCATCAGACAGTATTTTATATTTATTAATTTTTTTGTCTGATATAATTTTTAAAATTATGTGTAATAAAAATATATATTTATCATCATCATTGCTATTAAATAAATATTTGCATCATAGTTAATTTTTATTTGAGATAAAAACAGATATTCTAATTAAAAAAAGACACATTTCCAGAATTTAAATAATAAAATAAAGCCATTTATAAAAATAGTTTAACAGTTTAGTAATATTTATTTGGATAAAAATTAACTCGGATGCAAAACAATTTTAAATTTGATGAATTCTAAAGAGAAGAAATTATTTAATCAATCATTTATTAGTAATATTAACATTATAAAAAATAATTCTGTAATAAGATACTCAGTATTATTTTATGAATCTTAAAATATATGAAACCATAGATTAATAAAACTTTTATATTTAAGTATAATGCAAAAATGCTTTTACATAACAATAATTCAACGTAACAATTTATTCCATCAGAATAACTAAACCAAACAATCACTGAAATTAATCGAGCTACTTTTTCCTGCTATTAATAATTAGGCATTAATTAAGTAATTTGGTATTAGAAGAATAAAATTATTCAGAAAATATCAAATAATAATAATTTTACATTAATTAAAAATAGTCTATATTTTGAATTGTTAATCTTTTCTATAAACTACTTATTATTAAAATTTACAAGCTCTAAAATTTATAAACTCATGTTTTCTTAATAGTTTACTGTCTGCTACAAGTATTCATTTTTAAAAATTCATTTATAAATCTGATTATATTACTATTAATATTGTAGATTTTCCAAACATAATGATAAATTGGAAAAGAATGATTCCATATTTTTATAATTACCTAAAAGTATTTTATCTAATAACTCTGTTTAACACACATCTTGTTTTTACATATTCACATGGTTTTTATTTGTATGCATAATGATGCAATCAGTAAGACTGCATTGATTCCAAATAAATTTTGAATTATGATTTGCAAAATATCACACCTAACTAAAGAAACTTTTTTTGAACTGGATATTATTGAAATAGTTAAATAAATAAAACTCACGCCAAAATTTTATAGCTTCTTGATAACAAGCACTGAGTTCAGTGTTACACGATTTTCTTATATCGCAAGTACTTTCGACGAGTATTATATCGTCGCCCTCAGGTGAAAAAAAAAACAAATTTGAAAAAAATAGAATGTGCAGTGTTCCAAGTAGAAAACGGAAAATTTTTCTTGTGAATTTTTAATTTATAACGTTCGGTAATTCCATTGGTAACGTGCAACGAGTTTTTGCGGGCATTTGAAAGATCTTAAATCCACATGATTAGCAGCATGTGTGTTGAGGAGCAATCGTACTAATTGTGTGACTCTTGACGCATTTTGTTGTTTAATTTAATTAAACGCTGGTATAAAGTAACCCATATTTTGGGCAATTTGAGGGTAGGGACGTTGCATGCGTCTGTCCGTGGTCATTGTGAGGAGCACTTCCCAAATAAATGTAATCCTTCTGTTATTACAGCACTTGAGCAATGCTGTCTTTGACCATAATGGGTTATAGCCCTGCTGTAGAACTTTTCTGGCAAGCTCTGTGGTCTGTCTTTCTTTGTTTATATCCTCCTGTTGTTCTGCGATACAGCAAGCAAGCATTCTTGTCGTTGCCCCTATATACTTCTCAATTATTCCCATTATTGGATTTTCTAGTTGCACAGCATATACTCCCGATTTTTCTAAAATGTCGACTTTATCCTGATCATTGCACACACTCCTATGAAGGCTGGGTAGGGGTGTTAAAGGAAGGGTAAAGCTGTATTGCCGGAAAATACGGCTAATAAGTATGGACGGTGCTCCTAGGTACAGCAATGCTGATTGTACTCTAAACATTTCTTTTTTGCTGTATAGTGTGTTAAACGGGACAAGGGAATCTTCTACTCTACGTAGTACATGCGTAAATTTGGCACCTGTGAATCCAGTGTGATGTACTGCCATTCTTATGATTTCCAATTTGAATTTTATTAAAGCTTGCAATGAGGGAAGTAGCATCACTCTTCTGACAAGAGCAGCTATGATGGCGTTGACATACCGCAATGGTTGAAATGCATCAACTGGAATGATACAGAGGATCACGTTGGACTTATGATGCACTGTAAACTGCGGCCCTTCTAGTGACTTCCGTATGTGTATATCCAAAAATGTTATAGATTGATCCCGTGCCTTTTCCCAGGTGAAATTGATGGTGGAATGGACACTTGAAAGTTGTTGCATAAACTGGATAAACTTCTCTTCTGAATTTTCCCAAATTAGTAGGATGTCATCTACATAGCATAAGTATAGTGATGGGTAGCATGTAGCAAGTGGGGCGTTGAAAGTTTTTTGTTCCACTTCTCTCATAATGAGCTCAGCTAATACTGCGGAGAGAGGAGCGACCATGGGAACTCCTTGCTTATGTAAATAGACTTTCTGGTTGAAGCAGAAATAGTTGTTTTTGGTGAACTGGATATTACAGTTATTTATCATATATTTACATAAAAGTTTATTATATATCTCTCATAATGAGCTTGGCTAAAACTGCAGAAAGAGGGGAGCCCATGGGAACTCCTTGCTTCTGTAAATAGACTTTCTGGTTGAAGCAGAAATAGTTGTTTTCAGTGATGAAGATCAATGCTTCACGAATGTCTAGCACTTGTTAAACCGTAAAACCTTTTCTGAGGAGCATGGCATTGGCTAGCATTACAGCTTCAAATACAGGAACGGATGGGTACAANTAAAAAATAATTTTGTAAATACATTTTATTAGAAGTCAATAATGATTTACATATCATCTATATACAATTTTTTAAAATTATCGTTTATTAATGTAAAAAGAAGTTTCATTTTCTAAAGATTCCACTTTGACTTAAAAATTACTGCTACTAAACTATTTATTAATCTGTCACTATTATAAAATATATTTTATCATCATTTTGTTCATTATCACAATAAACAGACAG